CCAAAAGGCCCGCAAAAGGCCTCCAAGACGGCCCAAGAGCCCTCCAAGACGCCCTCCAGGAAGGCCCGAATAGGTTAAAATCATTGATTTTCCTTAGGTTTTTGAAGGATTTTGGCATGTTCTTCTTTTCAGCTCTCCGACGGCCCCAGACGGCCCAAGAGGTCCCCAACATCGCCCCAACAGCACCCAAGAGGCCTCCAAGATGGCCCCATGACGGCCCAAGAGGCCCCCAAGAAGGCCCCAAGAGGGCCTCAAGACGGCCCAAGAGGCCTCCAAGACGCCCAAGATGGCCTCCAAGACGGCCAAGATGGCCCAAGATGGCCTCCAAGATGCCTCCAAGACGGCCAAGATGGCCTCCAAGACGGGTAAGATGGCTCCAAGATGCACCCAAGACGGTCCAAGATGGCCTCAAGATGGTCTAAGACGGCCCAAAAGGCCGGCAAAAGGCCTCCAAGACGGCCCAAGAGCCCTCCAAGACGCCCTCCAGGAAGGCCCGAATAGGTTAAAATCATTGATTTTCCTTAGGTTTTTGAAGGATTTTGGCATGTTCTTCTTTTCAGCTCTCCGACGGCCCCAGACGGCCCATGAGGTCCCCAACATCGCCCCAACAGCACCCAAGAGGCCTCCAAGATGGCCCCATGACGGCCCAAGAGGCCCCCAAGAAGGCCCCAAGAGGGCCTCAAGACGGCCCAAGAGGCCTCCAAGACGCCCAAGATGGCCTCCAAGACGGCCAAGATGGCCCAAGATGGCCTCCAAGATGCCTCCAAGACGGCCAAAATGGCCTCCAAGACGGGTAAGATGGCTCCAAGATGCACCCAAGACGGCCCAAGATGGCCTCAAGATGGTCTAAGACGGCCCAAAAGGCCCGCAAAAGGCCTCCAAGACGGCCCAAGAGCCCTCCAAGACGCCCTCCAGGAAGGCCCGAATAGGTTAAAATCATTGATTGTCCTTCGGTTTTTGAAGGATTTTGGCATGTTCTTCTTTTCAGCTCTCCGACGGCCCAAGACGGCCCAAGAGGTCCCCAACATCGCCCCAACAGCACCCAAGAGGCCTCCAAGATGGCCTCCAAGACGGCCCAAGAGACCCCCAAGAGGCCTTCAAGACGGCCCAAAACGCGTCCAGGAGGTCTTCCAGGAGGGCACGACGAGGCCAACATCATTGATGATTCTATGGTTTTTGACAGATGTTGGCATTTGTTTCTTCTCGGGATTCCGACGGCTCAAGACGGCGCAATAAGCCCCCAAGATCGCCCAAGAGGCCTCCGAGATGGCTCCATGACGGCCCAAAAGGCCCCCAAGACGGCCCCAAGGTCCCCAAAACGGCCCAAGAGGCCTCCACGACGCCCAAGATGGCCTCTAAGAACCCATGATGTGCCCCAAGAGGACCCCAAGACGATCGAGACAGGCCCCCAAGACGGCTTCCGACGGCGTCAGCCAGGAACGCCCTAAGACGGCCAAAGAAGCTCCCAAGAAGCCCCCACAGGCCCCCCAAAACCCTCCAAGAGGCCCCCAGGAAGCTCCCAGGAGGCCCCAAGAGTGCCCGAAGAGGCGCCCAAGAGGCCTCCTCCTCCTCCTCCTCCTCCTCCTCCTCCTCCTCCTCCTCCTCTTTTCTCTTCATGCTCCCCATCCTCCTCTTCTTGCTCCCCCATGCGTTCCCCGAAGTCTTTCCAAACCGACTCGGGGAACAACTGGCCCGATAGCTTGGCCAAACTCTGGCCCAGCTGTCGGCCAAAGAGGCGCTTCCAAAGGGGCAGGGGGCGGCGGTGATTCGCCGTAGGCGTCTTCGATATCCTCCTCCTTCTCCTCCTCCTCCTCCTCCTCCTCCTCCTCCTCCCCCTCATCCTCCTCCTGCCCTTCTCCTCCTCCTCCTCCTCCTCCTCCTCCTCATCATCATCATCATCATCATCATCATCATCATCATCATCATCATCATCAGCAGCATCATCAACAGCATCACCACCACCACAATCATCAGCAGCATCATCATCATCAGCATCAGCATCAGCATCGTCATCATCATCATCATCATCATCATCAGCATCAGCATCAGCATCGTCATCATCACCACCACCACCACCACCATCGTCATCATCATCATCAGCAGCGTCATAAGCATCATCAGCATCATCAGCAGCATAAGCATCATCATCATCATCATCATCATCATCCTCATCCGCACCATCAGCATCATCAACTTCAGCATCATCATCATCATCAGCATCGCCATCATCGTCATCGACATCATAATCAGCATCGCCAGCAGCAGCATCACCATCATGACAATGACCATCGCTATCATCAACATTGCAGAATTATCCACATCGTCAGCATGATCACCATCAGAATCATGCACAGCATCATCATCATAATGAGCATCATCAACATCATCATCATCAATCGTCATCATCGTCACCATCGTCATCATCATCATCATCATCATCATCATAATCATCATCATCATCCTCATCAGCAGCCACATCATCAGCAGCATCGTTGCCATTGTCATTGTCACTGTCATCCTTCCTCCTCTGGCCTCATCCTCTTCAGAAAGCAGAGCCCCATGCCCTGCCAGTACAACCAGCAGGCGAGATGCAGTTCGTCGGCGAGCTCAGCTGGGCCCAGCTCAACCGGGCTGTTCGCCCAGAAACCACGCTGGTCCTGCGCGCGGGAGGGAGGAGGGGGCGAGGCAGGGGGGGGAGAGAGCGAGGGAGGAAGGCAGGAGCCGAGGCCACGAAATGGGAACGGCGGCAGTGGCGGACGGAGCCCAACGGCAAGTGTCGTCCAAGAGTAGCAGCGGACTCTGTTGGGCAGGCAAGGCCCGTCACAGGCGGACAACCTTCGAACCGACACCGACGGCAGTCACCCTTGTCAAATCGCCGGCAGCTGCCCCCGCAGGCGGCGTGAAAGACGGGCCCTCGCCATCGACGCGTCGCGCCCTCCGGCGGATGCCGGTGCACCGCCGGCGGAAGAGAAAACGGAGACGGGGCTCCGCTGGCGAAAGACCAGCGGGAAGAAAAGCGAGACGTCAGCATTGTCGGCGAAGGCCTGGGAAGGCCATGCCGACAGTTTGCGAGCGAGGCGCGGCCAGCGAAGGCGGACAGGGATGGGCCGAAGGGGAAGGATGCAAGGGCAACTTTGGAGATTGGCGCATCCTTCCTATGCGGGTTGACTGTACTAGCATCGAACAGAGTAGGCCTGAGGATTTGAGTCAGCGGCGGACATCGAGCAAATGAAGATCTCCTTTCTCATACCGGCGCCGCTCATCAGCAAAAGCGTTTCGTGGAGGCAGTGGCAAACTTCCTGCACGGACCCACCGCAGCAGGCGAGCTTCGTGACTTGGAGTCCCGCGTCTTGCCAAAGTACCAGCGACTCATGATTGCATGGCAATCGACTCATCACTACGACCATGTGGCGACTATACCCAGAACAGCTCAATATGAACGAACATGGTGAAGGATCCACAATGCGCAGGAGCATCCCTCCGTGCGCAGGGAGCCGCGAGGTTTAAGCTGGATCTGCGTGCCCCCCCACTCCGTCGGTCCTCCCAAGAGCCCAAGAAAGGGGCAGCAAATGCGCACGTCGCAGCTCCCCCGGGAGCCGCGAGGTCCCGGCTGGGTCTGGGTGTCCCCCCACTCCGCTGGACCTCCCAGGAGCCCACGAGAGTGGAGGCAGTTTCACTGCACCGACCTTGCAGACGTGCTGCATCGGATTTCGGCGTGGATTTCTGTCAATGCATAACCCCGAAGCGGCAAATCAAAAACGAAGTGAACTTCACGTGGATGTTCCATAATCTTCATTCCTGGCGCAAAGAAACGCACGAAAATCACTTCGAAAACCGTAACTGAATTCTCCAGGACACTCCGCGCCCATCCGATCGTTTTCCCAGCGAAATCCGCCCTGCGAAGTTGGCGCCATCAGCAGCTGCGCGCTTCGCTGCCCCCCGAAGCTCCCCGTCGCTCGGACGTCCATTCCCTGTGTGTTTTGTCGGCTTCGTGCGCGGCTTTCGCAGGATGATCCAGGATGCTCCTTCATAATCCCCGCCGAAGGGGAGGAGAGAACAAAAAAAAAAAAAAAACGCACACGTCCGAGCGATACCAAGGAGGAGCCGCTGGGTCTCCGCTGGACCTGCGCGCCCCCCCTCCACCCCGCCGTGCCTCCCAGGAGCCCACGAAGGAGGCCGCGCCGCGCCGTGCGTCCCTGGAGCGCCCACGACAGGGGCGACCGCCGCGCGCACTTCGCAGCTCCCCCCCGCCCAGGGGGGGGAAGACACCGAGGCCCCGGCTGGGCCTGCGGGCACTTTTCCGCCGCGCAGCCCACAGTGGGCCTGGTTTCCACCACCACCACCACCATCAGTTGGAGGAGGAGGATGTCCTCCTCCTCGTCCTCCTCGTCCTCCTCCACCTCCTCCTCCTCCTCCTCCTCCTCCGCCTCCTCCTCCTCTTCGTCCTTTTCCTTCTCCCCCAACAACTTATGGTGGTGATGGTGGAAACCAAGCACATCACACGAGAGAACGGCGGAAGGTGCGCACTGCGCGGCACCCCCCAGGGTGCAATGGTCCCGCTGAGACCACTGCCCTGATAGCATTCCTGACTTTTCTTCCTCAAAGATGTTATGTTATCTACTCTCTTTCTCTTCCTGGAGGATGTTGAAAACAATTGGCAGTGGGGAGACGTTGCGCGAGGCTGTTCGCGCTCGAGACGATGGACAGAACTGCCGCTGGGCAGCGGGTACAATAGCTGTCCTGCGGTTCTCGACCGCACGTCTGAAAGTCCAGCAACACTGAATTGCTGCACAAAGGCTTGAGCCAAGACGGTGTCGGAAGAAACGTCTTGGGAAACGTGCGAAACACTTACCAAGGGCCTCATGGGCTTGGGGTTTGCCAGGGAACCTTGGGGAGACCACTAAGCATGGCTAGGCTGCTAGGCAAGGGAACCTGCTACGCCAGGGAACGCGGACTTACATAGTATGGATAGTATGTACGGGGTTCTTTGGAGCCTTGTCTTAAATTGTCTAGCGCACCGGGTCTCGATGGGCCAAATGTCGTAAGTAGGCTCACCCGGCCCCAGAAGGCCTCATGTCCGGCAGGTCCAGCCTGCTGGGACTCGTCGTCGCGCGAGAAGTACACCAGGGCTTCCAGGGCGGTGTCGGGATCCAGCGGGGTGCCGTGGTCTAGCTTGTCGATGCCCTCGGACTTGCGCTTGCGTGCTGACCGATGGAGAGGATCGTCCACTAGCCGCCAGCGCTGTCCGCTTAAAAAGAACTCCATCAGGGCCTTGGCAGCGCGGTCCTTCGTGAGACCGTCGGCTAACATGGCATCGCTGTGAACCCGGCGAATCTGGAGCCCTGTCTGCTGCTTCTGCTGCCAGATGCCCAGGCACTCGACACTGGTCCTCTTATCTCGAAGGCCCAGTCCAGCAGACTCGTTCATCTCGATGACGTGGTACCCGGACTTCCCGTCTGTGACCCGGACTCCAGGGCAGGTTGAGATGGCGTCGTTCACGGCCTGCCTGTTGGTGTAATCCACGCGGTCGCACTCTAGCTCGTAGATGAACAGTCGCACGCAGCTCATCTCGTCGAGCGTCTCCGTCATCATCTGCACCTCGGCACTCGCGCTGCTTCTGGCAACGCGCGGCAGCGTGCAAGATCTCCAAGAAATCGGCGCCACTGTCTCTGTGGATCCTTCTAGCAACGATAGCGGTGCCAGCACGATCATCCCACCTCCTCGGGGTTCTCCTGTGACCCGGGCAGCCCACGCGGCGTCGCCCCAGCCAACAACTGCCAGCTTCTCGATCGCAGGCATGACCATGGCGACGTCAGCGATGTCGTTCGCGGCGCGGATGAGCCTGTTGATCTTCTGAATCGTGGAGACCGTCGCGGTAGGAATCGCGGCTTGTAGTAGTGAAACTTCGGCGCTGAGCCACGGCGCTGACTGCTGCGCTCTCCAGCCCGCGGTGCCAAGCCGCCCCCGTAGATCAGAGAGTTCGCGATCAGAAACTCCGTCAGTTGGCTTCCTGCCGCGATTGACGACTGGAATCGCCTCCGCGTTCATGCTGTAGGTGTCCTGGGCGAGGCTGCACGTGAAATCATGGTTCTGGCGGATGCTGACTCCACATTGAACGAAACCTTGCTCTCCCAGGGTGCCCATCCGAAAGCTTGTTGAATCTCCTTCCGCTTCTGCAGGAAGGACTTGTTAGCGCGGTCTCCGGCGATCATCATGTCGCCCACGCGTAGAATGATCACGCCGATCGACTTGCCGCCCCCACCCCTGACGACCCAGACGCAGGGCTCGCACTGGATGGCCTCAAGCTTGACCTTGTCGAGAGCCCCCCTGCAACCACTTCCGAGGTGCGCGTGCGCAACCACATCGGTTTGAGGAACTGCAGCACGTCGCCCTCCTTCATGCCGAAGGCCTGGCGAACGTCCTTGGGCGGGTCAGAATAGATATTCCGCTTCTCCTCGTCGGTCTCTCCATGAAGGAATGCTGTCACTGCGTCGGCCTTCTCCAATAGCCACTTGTGCCGGGCGGCCAGAGCTAGTAAAAGTTGGCGAGCACGTCGAGAAGCGACTGGTGAGTCTGCATGTAGATATGATAGATCAGGATCGCTGAAGCCGGGCACCACAAGTCGAGCTTTGCCTCATTGAACGTTACCTTGTTCGTCCCTCTTCCAGGTGAGCACGAAACGGCAGCGTAGAAGACGCGCTGGATCTATGCCCTTGCGGCTGAGGATCCTCGCGGCCTTGGTGCTGAGAACGGAGGTGCACTCCTTCTGCTGGGCATCAAGTAGCATATGAGTTTCCTCTGGCGCTGCCTTCTTGAATGAAACTTCCACTCGACCCTTGCGAGCCTGCGCAGTATGTCATGAAGGCGTGCTCGTTGTTAACTGGAAACTCCAACACGATCAGCTCGTCCTCCTTCTTGGTCTCGTCGCACTGCTGGGTGCTGCAGGCGTAATCGCTGTAGAAGCTACCCTCCTGCAATTTGTAAAAGGAGCCCTCCTGAACTGCAGCGCTGATTCTGGACTTCTCGACGGGGAGCTCTGTCATCACGTCGGTGTCCACGGTCCGCTTCTAAGGTAGTTCTGATCGAGCATCTTCGGATTCAGGGTCTACCGCCAAATCTCCAGCGCCTGAGCCGCCCGGGAAGGGCTTCTGCGAGGCCTGATCCTCCATGTCATCGTCCCCAGGTCGATTTGTAAAGCTTCCTCGTTGGCTTCGGCTGGAACTTCAGCTTCTTCTGCACGTGGTCCTTCAGCAAGCGATTCGAGCCCAGGTGGTGGCTCTGGTGGTACGTCTTGTATAAGTGGCTCCTGTGGCTCCTCCAGCGTCCACGGATTCTGTTTCCGTCGCAACCCTCTCGTAGGCGCTGGAGGTGATGGCGCCGGTTGCGAAGCTGATGACGACGTTGCTCCTCCTCCGCCTCCAGGCGCGTAAACCTGAGGTGCCCCTTGAGATGGTAGAGGCGCGTCGTCATCTTCATCAACGGCCCAAGGTCCACATGGGTTGTGCTCGAAAGTTCGCGCGCTTGTAGATCCCCCGTCGTCGTAGGCGAGGTCTTCACTGGTGGGTGGCGGCTCGTTGGCGAGGCCGATCACATCGTTGGTGTCGAGCTGCTTCTGCCCCTCCCCGAACGCCCAGGCGCCTGGCCGTTCGCTCCGAGATCGGAGCGCGCCCATGGTTTCTTCAGAAGGCGTGGCTGGTCGTAGCTGTTCGGGCGCAACTCGGTAGAGCCGCCCTGCCAAGGCAATGTTCACGACTGGGCCAGGTAGACCAGGTCGGTGTCCAAAGCTAGCGGGTTCGTGACAAAGTACTCGTCCAGGTCCGTGCCAGCGCCCTCGCCCGGGCATTGATCGCGGCTACCCCTTCTTCCCCCAGGCCCCAGGTGGGAGCCTACGGTAGACGAAGACTAAGTCGCCGCAGTTGTACTTCTGGAAGAACCTGAACTTCGCCGCCTCTGCCCTCTTGACTCTATCGGAATTCTCGGTCTGGATGTGGGCCAGTCGGGATAGCCGACGTATATGAGACTCTCCGGCGACGGTGCTGTCCTGTAGCTCGGCGCTGATGAGCGGGAGGTTGGTCGGCTCGTCGTCGAGGTTGACAGTCGCCCCCGTAGGCGCCCTTCCGGCGTAGCGCTGAAGCGGGCTGAAGACGTCGACCCTCGCGGGCTGCCGTCTGGGGGCCGAACATCTCGCTGGTAGACACGTCGGGAGAAATCATCTCGTCGAAGGCGTCGAAGACTTCCTTGAAAGCTTCGATGGAGCGCTCGAGCTCCCCGATCTGCCAGCCTGGGTCAGCAGCGCACAGGAGGCGACCCGCTCCCTGAACTCGTCGGAGACTGCGCTGCCAGCTGGGCCGCAGCGCATGACCTCAGGGCGCCCCATCCATCCATGGGAACCACTTGGTGGCGAACATACATCGCAGGTCTCCAGCTCGTAATTGACGTGGATGTTATGGTATCTGCTTCTCGTCGATCAAACGCACTCAGAGAATGTCGAAACCGCGCCCAGAACTGCGAGCGAAATGGCGCTGGTGTTCGTGCTGCGACGACCCCAAGACGGCGACAAATAGAACTTCGTGGCCAGAATGCGGTAACTCTGCTGATGATGCTGGCGGCCGCTTTCGTAGGAGGTCGGCGAGCGCCACACATGTCGCACTTAAAGTTGCGAGCGACCCGTAGTGCTTCAGGTCGGGCGCCTCGACCTCAGAGATAGCGAATAAGATTAGCACGTAGAGGGTGTCCCAGATTAGCGTGGACAAGTCTCACGTAGCTCTCCTACACCTTGATCGTTTCCTTCTTCAGGCCGAGGGAGTCCGCCCCGTCCTTAGGTGGCAGCAGCTCCCTCGCCGACTCCGGGGTCGGCAACGCGGGGGGCTGCCGCGCAGCTGCCAGGCAGTGGCAGTTCACGATCTCCTCTTCGAAGTAGCTTAAGTTAGCGTTGCGTGCAAGTGCCCTCAAGATTCTTCGGATGAACAAGTTCGGATATCTTCCTGAGGCTTCGGCCCGGTCGCTTTCTTCAATCTCCTCCTGATAATGTCTTCCGCGACACTGAGGTGGCTGAAAGGCTGCCCAGATGCGCGCGTCGCTGGCGGGGAACTTCCAGCGTTTCTTCATGGGCCCCCCGGCATCGGGGGCTCGTGGCCCACAGGCGCAGCCGTCCACGATGACCTCGCAGGGCAGCAGCTTGCGTAGACCCTTCCAGCAGGTATTCTGCCAAGAGCGGCTGTTATGCGGCTGCTCGGCGATGACCAAACCCTCGAGGTTTGCCCACTTGGTGCACGATGAGACGCATGCTGTTCTCGAAGGTCCGCTGGCTCTTCAGTTGCTTCTTCCGAAGGTTCTCCTTCTGCTGGCTGGCGCGCTGGTTGACATTCTGGATGACCGATACGGTCCACAGGGTGGAGTGCTGACAACTAGTTATGGTCTATCCTCGTCGAGCATGTCCTTGGCCCTGTGATGGCCCCGCGGTTTGCTGAGGTCGAAGTCGCTATGTAGTCCGAGCCGCGCGAATTCCAAACCCTTCTGCTCGCAGATCTGGCCGAGGTTCGAGCCCTCAGGTGCGCAGGCTTCGATCAGGCGGCCGAAAGTAGAGAGGGCGCACATGGCTCCGAACAAGGCGGTCTTGAAACTGCGCGTCGCAGGCCTGATGGCTAGGCGCTGGCACCCCTTGAGGAGTCGGCTATCATCTCGGCCCCAACGGGCCCGCTCCTCATGAACTTCGCCCACTCTTTCTGCGCGATCTCCCCCGCGCACATCTTGCGGCACCAGCCGCAGGGGTTGACCTCCATGATAGGCTCGCCATTGGCGATCCCGCGCTGCGCGCGACACTCCGGAGCCACACAGCCCCGTGCGAAGTGGCTCTTGACCGCGCCGCCTAGGATGTAGGGCTTGGTCTCCTGCCTTTTGATCGACATCTCCTGCTCCTGCTTGACCTTGACCGCATGCTTGGCGTCGCCCAGCTCCTGAAGGATGTAGGCTACCAGCCGGTCGCAGATCTCCTCCTACTTGCCACTCTTGGTCAGCTCGTAGAGCTTGCAAAGCGGCTTGAGGTGGTTCGCGATCGTCATCATGCTGAACAGCCTGTAGATCTCCTCCGTGTCGGTGCCCACAAAGGCATTCACGTCCTGGTACTTCGTCAAGAAACCTGACCTCGCGATCTCGATGCTTTCGCGAAGCTCCTTGTTCTGCTGGGAAACAGCTGCGGTATCTTTCTCGGTCACCTTGGGAGCTGGAATCTTATCCTGCTTGACGCTGGGCTTCTCGCCCGGCTTCCAGGTCGGGAACTTCGTCGGGGAGATCGACGCGGGAAGTCCCATTCCGCCAAGCTTCCAGTTATGCTTCTCGATGGTATTCAAGAAGACCTCGCAGATTACCTTGCCACATCTCGTCGTGCAGGTCCAGGCTTGATGCACCTTCATCGCCCACATCTCCCACTGCGGCAAATGCTCGCCCAAGAACAGCTCCGAGCACCTCGTCACGTTCTCCGCGATCTCGAACATCAGGCAGTTCTTCCCGCCCACTCCAGCGCGGCGAACAAACTTCCCCGGGAGCCACCCGGCAGGCAGTCGCGGGCGCCCCTGGGTTGCTGAGAGCGCCCGCTGCGATCTGCTGCCCACTGGAATGCTGGATGGGTCGACAGGCAGAGCCTCCCATTCGCCCATCTCCTCGTCCTTGACCCTGACCTCCTGGGTCTCTGCTGCGCGGCATTTCGCCTCGCGGTTGAGGTTCGTGCGGATATGGGAGTTGATGAGAATCGCTGAGCTCTGGGCTCGAAGATTCGGCTCTTGCCGAAATGGCGATGGACAGAGGAGCATATGAGTCTCTAGGGAATCCAAGAAATCTTGGGATCTCTGGGAGCTCATGAAGAGGGTGTCTCGGCCTCTTGGGGATCCGAAGTAGACGTTAATGTAAACGAAGTGCTAGTGGTTTGTGTAATGGCATTCCCGGGAGTAGCCGAAGTCGGTCTCGGAGATGCCGTTTCTGACGTACCAGAGGTTTCCGCATCCGAAATTCCGAGAGTCGCCGTTTGTGATCTTCCGAAACCCGCTGATGATCTTGATGTGACCCCGTTAACGATGGTGATGCAGGCCTCCAAGACGTACCCGAAGCAGCAGTCTTGGGTGGACTCGTCTTGGGATCTTTTGGGGAATCAGATTGGGCGTCCCGGGCCTTTGGGCTCATATGTAGGGGATCTCGTGCGGTTTCACGTTCCGGCGGCTGCTCTTCGTCTGTTCTACCCTCCAGCACTGGCGCAGCGATCGGCGTTGAGGGCGCGACCTCGAATTCGAGGGTCGCCACGATGCCGAAGTCAGCTTCTGCCACGAGAGGCAACGCAGAATGGCCGATCGAAGGGAGAGCAGCTTAGCTCGGCGACCGAGTCTCTTGAAGTAGATTTCGTTCTTCTCGCGGTCGATCACTGCCCCGAGCCGTCGCAGCACGCCCACCCCGATCAGCAACGAAGATTCGGCGTCCAGGATGTCAAGCTCTAGATCGCCACCAACACCAGCGATGTTCAGTGGGAACGTAGCCTTGCCAGTGCAGGCATTGGAAATGCCGTCGCCGAAGATGAACGTCGTCTTCTGCGAGGTGCCCATCTTGATGTCATTGCCCGTCGCGTCGTAGATCAGGTCGCGCAGCTTCTCGACAGCCTGGGCCCCGACGATGGGGAAAGTAGCGCCGATGTCCAGGATGCCGAAGCCCCTGTAGGCACTCTCCAGCACGCTCATCAGAATCCAGCCGCTCGTCTCTTCCATCGCGGCCAGAACCAGGAGCTCCTCGTCGCAGCGCTTCGGAACCTCTGGCTTGCTCAGCGCGTCCACTAGCTCGCGCAGCGACCTGTCGTGCTTGATCATCGCCACCTCCATCTCGGCGTCGCGCTAGCTGTTGTATCAGGGGGACGTAAGACCTGGGTACAGGGAACTCGGAAATCCCCGACGAGGTCGTCAAAAAAATGACGAGGCCGAGCCTGCATTTTGACGAGGCCTCCCGCTGCAGACATCCCACGAAACTCCTCCTCATCAAAATCCGAGGCGCGGTCGTCAAAAAACGA